TTACACGACCAGTAAGCGGAAAAAAGTGACTGTTTTTATTTTGATCGCTACTGCGGTCCCCGTAAAACAGTGTTTGACGCTATGAATTCTTACCATCACTTCTGCTCCTGTCAAGAAACCCGTCCATCTTTATCTGTTGAAATTACTGAAAGAAAAAAAGAAAAATAGATGAGTTGAAACAAGATTACATGAAAGTAAAAGGCTACAATATTCCGGAAATGCGGGAATGTTAGTGGTGGGAGCAATTTAAAACAAGTTCTACAGTCAAGAATTATGTCAAGACCAATTTTCCCTACAAAAGACCATTTTTTACTGATTCCTTACTTGAACAATAAAAGATCGATTCTCGTATAATGCGTTCAATGTGATTTGATAGCTTCCGAAAAGTTGAAATCCTCATTTTCGAATTTTCCTACAATTTTTAAAAGTTTTGACGCGTGAATACATAAGAATTGGTCGGAGAAACAGATTCATTGAAAAATGTACAACAAATGCTGAATTCAAGCTTTAAATTGAAGAATGACACTAACGTAAGCCCCCTTCTTAACTTGTATCTAGGACTTGGGCTTCAATCTACAAAAATTTATCGAATAGATCAGTACACGCCTTCAACAACTTTGTTCAGTCTGTTGTTGATGCTCGACGAGAAAGAGATGAGAATCCACGCTCTAGAGTTGTCGCAGAGACGATGAAGCTTCTGGGTAACAACTCGTACGGTTATCAAATTTTGCCGAAAAATGAGACACACAGTAACCAAATATCTTAGTGATGAAAAAACACACAAAGCAAGTTTTTCAACCGAATGAATGACGTGAAAAAAGACGTATACTAAGTAGAACTGTTCAATTTGATGATCATTGAATATAGTTTAAAAACCTTGTCTAATACCGACAAGTTCTTAACTAGGGTGTAAACTTGAAGTCAATGAATCGTCGATTCATAACAACCAACCGTTTAGTCTGAACATATGAACAAACTAAAAAAAATCTGTTACTTTTACCCAAAAAAAGGAAAAATTACTGGTGTTGAAATCAAATCCAAATCATTGAATTTGTAAGTTTAAATAGTAACCTAAAGTGAAAACCCATACGAAGGAATAAATTTTATTCTTTCTTCATAGTTCAATTTGTTTTCTCAAAAAACATTTTTTTTTCTCGAAATTTCAATAGGTTTCACTATCGTTTCAACATAAAATCAGTTGGTTAAAACATTAGTCATACATTTTGTTATACATGGACCCTTAAGAATTGGTGTAGATCATCTTAAACATTGTTGTTATCATAAACTCGAGCGTCAAAATTTTTTTGAAACTTACCATCTTACCATCTGAAGCTCTGAAACCAGTAAAATATCCTAAAACATTGGAGATCTCCAACAACGCCCCCTCTGATTGCATCCAACATATACTCTTATTTTTTCCGCATTTTAGACAACTACTGCTGCTGTTCTACCCTGCTACGTTTAACTTGGTTTTCGACTTTTAGCGTATTAATTTTATGAAAAACGGCCCAGGTGTTAAATTGAGTCAAGGTAAAATATAGAAATACGGACAACCTTGCAAATTCCGGAATCATGAATCGGTTTGGGTAAAAAGTGGAAAACGCTTCTTGCATATTTGTTTTTTGCAAAGAACACGACTTTATATAACAGGCTTTGAAGATTTTTTTTACTGACTAATACTGAATCTTGGTGGTTGAAAGATTATGGGTGAAAAAACTGCCAAAAAGGTGTACATTGAAAACTAAATAGAGAGAGCCATTGATTCAGAACAATCTAAGAAATTCAAAAATGTTTTTGGTTTTCTGCTCATTGAGGCAACAAGAAACGGGCCGTGCTGGCCTTATGATACAAGTTCGATACAATTCAGATTTGTTTTTGTAAATTTTTGTAAATAACTCTGTATGTAAAATAGCGTTTGGAAACAACTTATTGCGGTCATTTTCACAAGTTCATTTTACAGAAATAATGCAAGGTAAACAAAGATGAACCAATCATTCATTTCAGAACATAAAAAGGAAAAAATCTAAAATTTGTTTTTTTTTCGAAAACCTGGCCGAGGTTACACTTAAGAGCTGAAATTACGTTAGGAGGTAAAAACTGAGATGAAACAATCAAAATAATTTATTCTGTGACCTGATAAGAATGCAAATTAACAAATTCAGTGAGACTTGTGGCGTATGTTATCTTTCTACATGGTTCTAAAAAATTGGGCTGACAAAAAATGCCGCTCATAAAATTCGCAATCTATGGCTCACACATGTCATACTTTTATCATATCTCAAATGTTTATGTCTAGCGATGACTTTCAGATATTCCAGGAAATGAAATTAGCTTTAGAGAAGTAATTTAAGGAAATCAATAAAACTCTAACGATTGTTTCAGGAAAAAAAAAACGAAAATAATTTTCTAAAAGCTCAAAATTTTCCAAAACTGCTTTAAGTTTTTTTGTGAATACTTTGAGCTATTGAATTAAGTCATAATTAATTTTTTTAAAAAATTACAATTTACATGCAAAAATTATTCAATTCATGAAGTTTTTGTTGAGTAGATAATGGAATTTACAAACAAAAAAAATCAATTTGAAGCATACCTTGACAAATTGATTTTAACCATTTATTTATTCGGAAAAAATTTTCTGCTTGAAAAAAACGTATTTTTTTTGCAATATTTAATCACGGCCTGTCAATTCACATCCCATTCGAGTATGTTTCAAATTCGTTTTTTTTTTGTCAATTTTGCTCGAATTTCACAGTGTGGTTTCAGTTTTAACCAACGACACACCATTGAAATCTGATTACAATTATTGCCGACTGTTCTGTCTTCACAAGGCATCTTATAAGCATCATATGCGTTAGTTTTTCTCAATTATCCGAATTATATTTATTTTTGAAAAATTGAAAAAG